GAACTAAAATTTAGCATATTCAATATATAAGAACTAGAAATGTGCTCAAGGGACATGGGGTACCTCTGCCTTACAGGCCTTGTTATTACCAATAGGTATTGATGGATGAGGATAAAATGTAATCAAGAATTAAATCTAGCGACATGTTGTCACCGTAACGTATTTCATAAGTGACAAGCTCTTCATAAACCGTTGTATAGTATAACTGCCTGGTGGCACCATCTATGGGCAGATGCAGGTCAAATATGAGTCCCACACAAGCTCTGACAAAATAAAGTATAAATGCCACATATGGGTGAAAGTGATACAAATGAAACCTAAGGTCAGGTGCTGTAACAAGCTTTCATTATATAAGTACAGTACAGTAGTGTCATATCAAAAGAAAACATCAAATCGCCCATCTATCTATATCTAGAAAAGATAATGTATTTGTCTGTTTGAGGAAGGTCAAACATTTTAACCTAGTGTAACCAAATTTTGCAAGGTGACTGGTGGTTGTTACGGGATGGTCATAAGTGTGTTGAGGTCAACTCCCATGTCCTTTTTTTTTTTTTTTTTTTTCATGAAATGGCAAATGATACCAATTTGCAATCTCACCAAATACCAGACTCCAGTGTCACTAAGATTCATCTAGCATATTATCTAGTACATAAATAAATGTTAGTTTGTCCTATGTAGTTTATTGGTAAAGAATGTGTACTGAAGATGACTACAGTGATGAAGGGAAGGCGGCCAAGAAGAGGTAAAGGTGGCCAAGGAGATGTGAAGGTGATCAAGGAGAGGTGAAGGTGGTCAAGGAGAGGTGAAGGTGGTCATGGAGAGGTGAAGGCGATGTAGTCAAGATGATTACTGTGCTGAGAATAGTTGTGTGGTGTAGATTAGTATTGGAGGTTATGTAATGAAGACCGAGTAGTTAAGACAGTTATAGTGATGATGTTTGTGTGTAATTAGGAGATAGTGTAAACATGATTACAGTGATGATGGTCATGTGTAGTAATGATGGATACAGTGATCATGGTTGTGTGTAGTAAAGATGGTGCCAGTGATATAGTCGAGGCCTCCATCATCTACGCAACACTGGGTACCTCGAAGGGGTGATTTAATAAACAGAAATATAATGTTAATTTTTCAACACTGCCCATTGGTGGTGCCATCTATAGAGAACCATGGCTAAAACAATTCCAAGCAAGGTCAAGTGACTAAGTATAATAAATGTATAGAATTTCAGGAGAGTGCATCACATTATTAAGTTTCATCAGTAGAAAGAATTTCAGTACCACCACTGAAGGTTCCATCAGTACATCTGAGTGAAATGCAATCCCCAAGCAAGATACAGTGGCAAGATTCCACTGTAGTGAAGTTTAGCAGAAAGCATCAAACCATTCATACATAATGTATAAAATAAATATCCTACAAATAGATAAAAAACATACAATTTACTCATCTCCGCTCATATTTACGGGAAGGGAACATACAGTAATATGAAGAGGATTTACCTTAACAAAATTTATGGTAATTTAAATTGTCCTAAAATTTTACAATTTCATTGAACAAAACTCAAGTAAGTAATACCAAGGAAATTTAATCTACAGTATATGATGTAGAGTATGAACAAATTATCAAGTTTTATCAAGTTTTCTCAGCTTTTAACTGTAGAATATATAATTTAATATTTAGAAAGCATTAAAATTAGGACACGGTACAGTATAAAGATTGTGCCTGTGTAAAAATTTACTTTTTAAGTGCTAAATATTGTAGCTTAAGCATGGCAGTGCCATTCACATATGCATTGTCTCAATAACTGATTTTCTGTGGCATATGGAAGGAAGCATTAAAATAATTTCATCTAACTTCTTACCCATCACATTCTACACCAAAATAAAGGCAATAGCAAGCAAAACAATTTAAAGGAACAATGTTAATTACATTACAAAACTTTGAAGTGCCATATAGATATATCAATATCTACAAAACTGTTAAATACTGTAAGATACAAAAAATAAAATTGTACATAAAGAAGTCTAAAAGGTCAAATTCAAAACAGAAAAAGTCTGTACAAAGTAAACCTATAAGAACCTAGCAGAAAAAAGAAACAGGAAGAATTAGTTTATCATTTGCTGTAAATCTGCACTTGACAAAACATAAGCAGCTCAAACAGAGACAAAACGGTTAGAAGATGCTTATCATAGTAATTAATAGTCATGCAAGAGAGCCAAGTTACATTTTTGTGGATGGAACGTATTGACAAACTGACAAGATCAAGACTGCAAACTGCAAACAACTCTCAGCTACAGGAACTGATGGCAAACACACCTTCAACCACTTTAGGTCTAGCTCCTACCATGAAAATTTAACTCAAAATTAGTGACTTGTAGTTTAGCGTGTTAAATCTGTTCAACCATCCACATAATTGTACTTTAAAGAGAAGTGTAATCCACGCCATGCTGCAGAGGGAACATGGAAACCTGGCTAGTCCTGCTCTATGAGTAGTATAAGGACGGTTGACCACCACTTCCTTCAAGCTAAAGCTGGAAAAGATAATAGTCTTAGGGAGTACCTCATACTCACCATAAGACACACAAAAGACACACACTCCTTTTCAAAGTTATTAAAACAAAACTAATTAAATCTATATTATGATTAGCTTACTATTTCTGTTAATGGCTTAATTATTAGTAACTACTGTATACAGGTATTTATATCGTATTCACCGGTGTCGTGTTCACATACCCCCCCTCATTCAAATGCCTCTCTTTATTCAGATACCCCTCATATAGCAACAGGTTTTAGAGTACAGTACTGTAAATACAAATTGTGAGGACTTCCTCCTACAGCTGTGTCATGTTCCTAAGAGGACTTGAAAATACTGTCAGGGTAAGTCAAACTATTTATTAAATAAATCCTTTTTTTTTATTCAAAAGAAGTATGATGGTATACACAAAAGCACAGCACAGCACATTTGCTCTTTGGCCCGAGACCCCAGTGGATACAGTATAAATGCCTGTATGATGAAATGACCCAGACTTCCAAACTACTTTGAAAACTGTAAAATTAGATAATAAATGTATGGTATACTGTATACATATTCCTTGACTTAAAATGCAAAAATATACTTGTTTCAATCTTTCCAAAATTTAAAGAAAATTAAAATTCAAATCATATTTACATAATTAAACATGTCATAAGCATTATAGTACCGAGTACTGTAGCAAGATTTAAAACCAAACGTTGAATGTAATGAAATGCCCTTTTCCAATATGCCCTCAGTGGCTTCCCTGTAACTACACTCTGGTATCACTATACCCAATTATCAAAACCAGGCCTACCTGTACCTCCCTCATGAGCTACCAGCATAGAGCCACCAAAATTCACACAGGAAAGGGAGGGAAAAGACAGGGCAGGGACAGGGAGCTACTTTACTACATGTAAGAGCCACTGAGGGCCTGCATAAAAAGGGTATTTCATTAAATTTAACACTCAAGTTCTAAGTAGTTAACCTAAGTAAGTTTCCTGGTGCTTATTCTCAGTGATGCTGTGGTAAAGAAGTCAGTTTAGCTGAAAAGGAACATAAGAATTACAAAATCAAGAAAAACTGCAGAAGGGACTAACATGTGACCTGGACAGAACCAGGAAAAAATTAAAGACGAGGGGACAAAAAGAACGGGGGGGGAGGGGGCAAAATTTGAGGGGGACAAATAGAACTACAATTCATTGTTGTTCTTGCCACTACAAGAATAATGAATTATCTGCAAACCAGGGTGAAACCAAGACCAAATACCTTAAATAAGAATAAGAAGAGGAACCAAACTAAACAATTTAGGTCTAGTTCAGAAGCATGGTCAGTCTCTCAACAGGAAATGAGGCAAATTCTACCTAACCTGGACAAAAGGCAGGTGACACTATGGAAACCTGCAAAGTGGTTGGTGAACCCAAACTCCAAATTGGGATCTAGAAAAGTAACAGTAAACTAGAAGAACGGATAACACACATTTCCAACCTGGATAAAGTGGGCCTCTAGCCTGAGGACAAGATCTTAGACCAAGAAAACAGCATCCAAAGTCCACCTCAGATAACCCCAAAGCACTATAGCCATCCCACAGTACAAAAGAGGAAGAGCCAGAGTTAACAGTGCAATTCCAGCCTGAAAAACAAGTCTGGTAATGGGGAAAGAGAGAAAGTGCCAATAATAAAGACCTTAGAACCTTCTCTAAAATGAATCCCTGCTTATGCAAGACACTGACCCTGGGTCATTTCAGCACAAAGCCAAGCATCATGGACTGGGAGGCCAAATAAGCAGAGTCTGGAAGTGGAGGACGACACAGGCCAAATTAGTAGGATCAACAGAGTATTTGAACCATGTCCCAGTTCAAGAGGTAAGAAGCAAATCCTTAAATTCTCTCTCATAAAACAGCAAAATCCAAAGTTCCTACATGCTAACAACAACTAGAGGCTACAAAAGTCAGAATAGTGAGGCGAGACCCCTCAAGCATACCACAGGCTGCACAGTGGTCCAATGAAAACAACCTTCACACACCCAGTGGTTAAAGAACCCCTGACAATCTAGTTACAATCTAAGCCTGCCTGAATGTTGGAAGCACAGTCAGGATGTACCAGGAATATGAGGGTTGGATGGAGAGGTGACCCATCATGAATGGTGCTACCTGCTACCACCTGATTGGTGGTTAGGTCAGAGCTTGATAGATTGGCTGTAGGGCTATTAAGAGCTTACCATTGCATGATGCAACATTCTCATGTTAGTTTCAGTGCTTCATTATGTACTGGTATCAAAACCTTCAGTTTAGCAGCAGCAGTAGTAATAGTATTGTCAAAACATTATTTATATATTCATACAAAACTCTGAAGTTAGCCACCAATTAATTACTGTAGTTAAAAGAGCAAAATGTATTAAAAAAATATTAAGAGAATATATTAAGTTATTATTATTATTATTATGCTATTGCATAATTTAACAAATAATAAAAAGCATTCCATATCTTCACCTCATAAATAGCAAAACGTGTGGTTGAATATGTAAGCTGTCGGAGAAGGGATGCAGATAGACCATTGTAGAGAGCTAAAAATCCTTGATTCTTCACAATATGGACAGCCATCTGCCCACCACCCATCTGTGTGACTTGTTGTGTTTGAAGATGGACCTGTTGAAAAAAAAATAGCAGTAATTTAACTGTTCACAGTAGTTACAAGGCTTACACCTCCCTTACTGTCATGAAATGATCAATGCAAGAAAAACTGAAATATACCATATATTAGACCTGGATACTTCCAAATGGTTCTGAAAACCATCAAAGCAGAGGATTAAATTATTTTTGCTTAATTTAAATACTTGAAGTATAATAACAGGTTATTAAAATTGGGGCACAATGACTATATATATTTGTGTTCATGTGAATTGCCAATCTAAACAACAGTTCATGAAAACCAACTCTTCATAATGCCACTGTTTACTACATCCAACACAAAGAATCGTCTAAATAGTGAACCACTACTCTACTTAAAAACTATGGATACAGAGTAGTAATTATTAGTTTGTAGAAATCTGGGGTGATTGCCCATTTAGATAAAGGTCCATGGATTGTTGTGGTATTCGGATACAGGATAAATAAATACTTTACAGTATACTGTACAGCGGAACCTCGGTTGACGAATGCCCTTCTCTACGAGCTCAATTTCTTTGTAAAATTTGACTCTGTATTCGAGGTTTGCCTCGGTTCTCGAGTTTGTTGATATATGTATGAGTCAATGAGCGGGTGGTTCTTCTTGGCGTGGCTGAGGTGCACCTCAGTTTACTAGTATCTCCTGCCTAATGACGACCACGCTCGAATTCTTTGTGAAGAGTTTCATTGTTTTTCTGATTTTTTTGTTTCTAAACATAAAAGTAATTATTATATATCATGCCATGGGTCCCAAGAAAGTCAGTGGTACAGTTCAACCTAAGAAACTAGTTGTGAGAAGAGGCAGTAGAGGATGTCCCTGCCTCATTTAGAAAATATGTGCAGTATGGGAAGAACTGCAAAGTATTGTTGAAAAAACGTACCCAGATAAAGTTCTAGCAGCCTGTTACATTCACCTTTTTAATGACAACGTGATGTCTCACTACAGACAAGTGTTAAAACATAGGGAAAAATAAGTGTCTGCAGACAGATTCTTAGTAAGACAAGCAAGCAGTGAGCCACCAGGTCCTAATGGTATGCCTGCAAAACATAGGGGAGACAGTACCCCAGAAATGTCGTCAGAGCCTGATATTATAATGGAAGGGGACTCCCCTTCCAAACATCTCTCTTCCTTCCCCCCTCCTCACCATCTTCCATATGCCAACAAGAGTCCTCAATAAAGGTAAGATATACTGTAGTACAACATATGAGTAAATTTCTGTATAAAATGTATTTTTAAGTTAACATTTTTGGGTGTGTAGAATGGATTAATTCAATTTACGTTATTTCTAATGAGAAAATTTGTTTCGTTTTACGAACCATCTCTTGAAACAGATTAAATTCATAAACAAAGGTACCACTGTATCAGCATCCCTGTTTATATAATTCTGGTTACATTATCTTGCACACAAATAGTGCAGCAAGTCCTATATCCTAGTGCAGGACACCATGGGAAGACATCTAACGTATTTAATATACAGGTATAGCAGTTATTACTTACTCCTTAGAAAATATATTTTCTCTGATAATTCAATAACATTTTTAAATAAAACTAAATTTCCAGTACAGTATTTTTACATCTTGTAATCCATTACACTACATAATTATTGTACAACTTGTTAAGAATTCACAGGAACCCTGCCTAGCTGTCAAAATATCAGATTTATTTTATAAGCTTGGGTCCCAATCTTCTAACCAAATAAAAACCCAATTCCAATTCATATTTGAAATCTTTCAGTATTTTGGTGTTACTGTACAAGGTGTATTAAACACTATTTTTTACTGTACAGAGGCAAAGGAAAGCACTAAGCCAATACGCCTATATAGCACTTGGAAGGGATATGAATATAAGTATCTGAGATAGGACAGAGGGATGGAATAAATCCCAATCACTTGGACTGTTGGGAACCAAACATCAACCTGCAAGAAGCGGGGTCGTTGCTACACCACCCAGACTAAGTGGTTGGCTTGGTGTTCAGAGATATTCTGGTCTAATTATTTTGAAATGCTACTTTTCAACACACCTTTAGAAGATCCAGGGGGTGAGTACAGCAGGCAGCTCCACAAGAAGCCACACCACCAAAGTACCATTTGGCTAACCGTTGCTCCCCCATGATGCTCTGTTATACTCTTGCAGTCACGTGTCCCTGTCTTAATTCTCTCTGAAAAAGGTTATCAAGAGAAACTGCAATTAATAATTCTGAAGCAGAATTTAATACAGGTATCATAACACAATCCAATTAATAAAGCTATTAAGAACAATAAACTTTTAAGGCATGGAAATTTTTTGCACTTGCAGTCATCTACAAGGTGGTCCAAAAGATCTAAC